CATTTAAGGGAACATACTGTATGGAGTGCTTTTTTTATAGCTTAATTGACGTCGAAACTACAAAAGACATTTTAAAAATTATTTTCAGCGATTCATGAAACAAGGTCAACGACAAAACGTGTGCTGATTTTTTATTTTTTTTTAATTATTATGAAAACTAACAAAGGAAAAACTAATTTTTTCACTTAAATTGCTGATGAAACCTTAATCTAAATAACAAGGTATTTAGAAGTGACAACTGAGTCGGGCTCTCTCATATCTGACTGTAATGCATGGCACAATAATTACAGGCATGATAAAAACATAACAAGGTAAAACCATTGCGAGGCAGTCTGACGTTTACCAGCAATCTTCTATATACGAGTATAATTGCTCAGTCATACGACTTAGTTAGGGCGATATGGTGCAGCTAAAGAATTAATTTATAAAGTGCAAGCTGCAGTTGACCGTGTTTGTCACAAAAGTAAAAGGTGGCAGAAAAGGCGATAGTGAGCAGTGTATTCTATTGAAAAATATTAACCGATTTTCCGTGGAATTGTGATTCGAATTCGTATAATTAAAAGTTTTTGAGATATATTTCGCGAACGCAAAAAATAAAAAGATCACTTTCTTTTTTAAGGGACTGTGGATGATGGTAAAATTCAAAATTTTTAAAATTTTTTGATAAGATTTTTTAAATGAACGATCCAAATTAGCCGGAATACATACTTATGTATTTTAATATTTGTAGAATCAGTGGATGAATTTTTGTGCTGAATGGGTTAAGAAAGCTTTAGTTTAAAAGAGTGATACTAAATGCCTTTCACCATGAAACGGCGCCAACTTTAAGTGTATATTGCGTTTCAGACTACGACTAATAAAGGATGGATATTGTGAAAGATTCGACTATATCTATCTTAAAAATGACTCTTTTCTCTGGGCCCCTTGTACGAAGCTAAGAGTAGAGTATGGCACTTTAATGATTTAAAAATTATCTTGGGTTATCAGGTCTCTAGCAATACAAGATTATTCACGAAGTTCGTTAAATAAATCTTGAGCTAAGTACTGAAGTATATTCATGAATTTACTTAAGTTTAAATACTTAATATCTGCAAGTAGTTCTTTAATGCATTCACCCGAATTTCGGGGGTTGTTACTAGTCTGTTTATAATTGCTCAGTCATACGACTAAGTTAGGGCGATCTGGAGTAGCTACATAATCGTGTTATATATCAAATTGAAGTGTAAGCTCCATATTATCCAAAAGTTATCAGATTTCAAATCAGTGCAGTAGGTAACAAAATATAAACGTTTAATCATTTTATTGACTCATTCTCAACGCTATATGTATAATACCACAGGTCCACAAAAAAAAATCGATGAAAGGTTCCTTTGACCAAACCTAGTCTGTTATATGTGTTTGGGGTCGCTGAACATGAATCTGAAGTCCGTTTTGTTAAATCTCGTCTGGATTTTTTTCTAACCTCAAAAAACATCTCGGATTTTACGTGCATCGATACACCGAGTGAAAAATTTTCGAAGCAAAACATCGATATTTTCGATGCATCGATGTTTTTCCGACATCCCTAATTTAGATTCAAAACACCAAAGGAAGTGATGGCCCAATGTAAAAATATATTCAAGAGGTTAAATGGGCAGCAAGACAATTTAATAACAGAAAATTTTCTCGGACATAACTCGGACATCCACAAGTGAAATGAAATATTTAAATAAAGGTGTCAAAGGGGAGAGATTTTAGTAAGGTTTGCGAAGTTTCAAACCCCCTACAACTGTGGAAAAAGTATAAAAACGCTTTTTTGAAAACATCGCCTACAGGTTTCAAGAAACAGCACATGACGACATATATTCCAACGAGCTCTGAGACTAATTGAGGATAAAATTTTCGCAATTATGGGAAAACGGATGTGAAATTTCTGCATGCCCACTTCGCAACGAACGGGAAAACTGTCCAATGAGTTATTCAGGGAGTTGAAATAAAACACCACGAACTCGGCTACTCAAATCACCGAAACAGAACCTAAACTACACATTACCCGAGCAAAGGCAAATTTTCTATAAAATTGTGAGCCGTGTGGAGAGCGAACAAGGGGCCTTTATTTCTTGGACGCATTAGGGAGAACTGGCAAGACATTTCTTTTTAATCTTGATACTGGCACAGATAAAAATGTTGCACTAACTGTTTACTCCTCAAGGATAGCAGCGGCCATGCTCAGCGGAGGAAGAACTGAACAATCGGCGTTTAAACTCCCTCTGAACCTTGCGAGTCAGGATTCACCGACTTGCAACATTAGCAAAAACAATGGTGGCGGGGCTATGTTGCAACAATGCAAATTAAAAATTTGGAACAAATGCACGATGTCACACAAGCATGCAGCCGAGGCACTCGATCGAAGCTTGCAAGATACCCGCTTCAGCCGTTTGCTGATGGGTGAGGGGGTAGTCGTATTGCTCGCAGGAGATATTCGGCGAATGCTACCAGTCATCGAGCGAGGCACTGCGACAGACGAGATAAGTGCATGCATCAGGGCTTCGCCATTGTAGGCAAAGGTGAAAATATGGAACGAACATGAGAGTCCGGCTGTACAATCGGTGAGATCATCGGTGAGGGCTGCAATAATGAATCAGTGGGAAACATCCATAATAAAATTATTGATAAAGTGCCTGGTGAGGCGACGACATATATGTATGTTGATACTGTGATGGCAAATGAGAATGCAAACTTTCTAAAATTGTCAGAGGTACCGTCATATTGATGCGTAAGCTGGATGCACCTAGATTGTGAAATGGCACACGACTATACATAACGGAGCTTTAGAAGACATATTGTAGTAGCCACCATCACTACTGGCGGGGCCAAAGGACAATCAATACTGACACCATGAATTTCTATAATTCCAAAAGACATCCCATTTCAGTTTAAACGTTTGCAGTTTCCGTTAAAAGTAGCCTTCGATATAACGACTAGTAAAAGCCCAGGACAAACACTTAAAGTTGCAGCAATATGTATATCTGGGCATACTATCTTTCTCGCACGGACAAATCTACGTCGGCTTCTCGTGTGTATCGAGAGCCAGGAATCTCTATATATGTATGTACATATATGCCCAAGGCAATAAGTCCCGGAACGTTGGTTAAAGAAATGTCTTGCATTAGTAATAATAATAACAGTAATTTTTATACCCGAGCGCACTTGTGCACAAGGGTATATTAATTTTAGTCACATAACGTTTGTTTGTAACAGCCAAAACGAATCGAGATAGATATAGACAAATGTATACATAAATGATCAGGATGAAAAAAGAAATCGATTAAGCCATGCCTGTCTGTCCGTCTGTCCGTCCGTGCGTGTACACGATGACTCGAGCAAAAATTGAGATATCTCAACGAAATTTGGTATGTAGGTTTCCCTTAATCCAAGGTAGGTTGGTATTGAAAATGGGCGAAATCGGACTTTAACCACGCCCACTTCCCATATAACGGTAATTTCCAGAAATACGAAAACTGCGATATTTTAGTAACTACTGAAGATAATTCACTCAAAATTGATATTTACAATAATTTTTAGACGAAAAATAAGAATATTATAAATTTTTGGAAAATGGGCGTAGCCACGCCCACTTATGGTTACATGTGTATATCTTAGGAACCGCTGCACCAATTTCTTCCAAACTTGGCATAGTTGTTGGCCTCGATACAGCATACAAAATTGCCGAAAATTTTGGACGATAACCACGCCCACATCCCATATACGGTAATTTAGAGAAATACAAAATCTTCGATAAATCAGTAAATATTAAAGCTAAATTATTCAAAATTGATGCTTGCAACAATTCTTTACCAAGAAATACGTTTATGGTAAAATTTTGGAAAATGGGCGTGGCACCGCCCACTTATGATCACATATAAGTGTATCGGTAACCGTTCTACCAATTTGTACCAAACTGGGTATGGTTATTGTGCTTGCCACGTGTAAGCAAAACGTTGAAAATTATTGAAATCGGATTAAAATTACGTCCGCTTTTCATATAACGGTAAATTTCAGAAATGCTTGAAACTTCAATATTTCGAAATTGAAGGACGCTAATTTACTCAAAGTTGATACACCCCGGATTACCATCTGCGGTAGGTTTCGGAAAGGTGAAAAAACATATATTTAATATTTGCGCCGGGTATTTAATGTTCGGCTCCGCCCGAACTTAGACTTTCTTACTTGTTACATTTAAAAGAATTGCGTTAAACCAAGCATCACGCGGGCGAAGCTGCAGTTTAAATATGTATATGAGCTGAAAATGAATTTTTGAAGTTGATCAATAATCTCAACTTATATACAATGTACATATGTAAAAAGCTCTTCTATAAAATTGAACCTAAGTTTAGCTTAAGATGGTTCCAGGAACACGTAACTTTCCGAGAGGTGTCACGCCCGTTTCCATAGTCAATAATAATTCCTTTGCCTAACGAATTTAACATGGCAAAGTCATTGAAGCGTACCAAGCGGTACGCGTGGTTTGTTCTTTCGCTAACGATTGGCTGGTGCTTCGCATAACCTGTCGCTAGATAATTGCCTAACAAACGGTAATACATGGAATCACCAGCACTAGTCAACAGTAAAACTCCAGCAGAACTACAGGGATCCGTACAGATCGCTTGCTGTGGTGTTGATGGAAATTCAACATTTAAAAGAAAATTTATATGTCTGTATGAATATTATTTCCCCTCAGTGTACGATTTTTAGAAAAAATTTGACTCGAGTCATTTTAAGGCCAACAGATTTAGTTTGCCTACTAAATATTTATGTTGTTGTTTCGAATATGATTTAAAAAAGGTTTTAATTATGTGTCTCGATTCGAACTAAAGAAAATTGTCTAAATCTTCTATTTAATCGTTGATCTGATAATTGTTTGTATTTGTATTTAAAACAAAGTAGACTCCATATGAAATCACGTCATTTTATTGCAAGAAAAACCATTTTTTTAATTAATCAAACATATGTATGTATGTATTTGTGGCTAAAATTTCATCTTTAACAAAAATTAGTTAACACTCTAACAATCATTTAACTTTGCATTCAACGGCAGGTTCTCCAATTTTAAAGTCTAAAAATAGAGTAGAAAACAGAAAAAATATATAAAATTTTCCAATTAGCTGAAGTATAAAATGGCTTCTACTTACTATTACGTGGTCTTGATGGGCAGTTGAGATTTCGTAAAGCACACTTATCAGCCCCTACTTTGGAGTTCTAGGCTGAGACGTAGGGCTCTTAGTTGGCGTCTTAGTTCGTTTGATAGTTGAAGGCGTAGTACTTCTAGTTGGCGGCGTAGTTCGCCTTCTAGTTCAATGCGTAGGATTTCTAGTGGAGGGAGTCTAGGTCTCCTGGTTCGGGGTGTAGGTCTCCTAGGTGGGGGCGTAGGTGTTCCAGTTGGAGGAGGTCTTTTAGTTACGATAACACTAACATCACCTGGCTCACCAGGCTGTGCTTGAGTCATAGCTATGGTGATTAAAAGCACAGCTCCAAAAACTGGAATTGAAAAAGTTAGTTGGAAAATCATATATCGCGACTTAAGCACTTACGGAACACGAAGGAATTCCTGGGCCACATGTTTTGATGCCTTGATGATTTCGAGTTTGAGAACGGAAAATAACTGATAGTCATACACCAGCGCAGACCTACTTTTATAGAGGAATCGACATCAGCAAACAAGTGTTCTTCAGATAATACTTGCATTTTTTTTTTTAACATTTATTTAAAATTGTAACAATACATTTAAAACAAAAGACTGTCTGGAGTGCGTTTATTAATAGCTTAATTGACAACGCTACTAAAAAAGATATTTTCGCAAGATTTCACGTAAGCGCGAAATGCATAAATCCCAAGCCTAGATTATGGACGAATGGGATAAATCTGTAGCAGTTCCAGTAATACGACAGCTAGGTCAGGGTGACATTTTTCTTGCTACATTGCATGTTTTACGTACATATCCTCGGCTAGACGTAAACTTTTCTCTGAACTATAATTTTAATGTAACCTTACATCACATGTGCATAAAAGTCATAACTTTTCGTTTGTATGTAAGCTAAAAGAATTACTATCAAGTTTTGGAACTCGAAACAAAGGCCATTCACCCTTTCAAAATCGGTTGCAATTATAGAGGTGATTCAGATTTTTTACAGCAATCCTTTGTGAGACGTTTTATACTACTTTTTTAACCGCCTTCCAAAAAAGGAGGAGGTTATCAGTTCGTCGGAATATTTTCTTTGTATGTATGTTACCGCATAACTTTGGGCCACACCAACCGATTTCGATAGTTCTTTTTGCATCGGAAAGGTAGTGTCTCAAAGGTGGTCCCATACTAATCTGATTCAGATCCGATCGTTGGATCACGAAAAAATTAACGGTACTCCTAAATTTTTATATGAGAATTGAAGTCGGTTTTGTTTTCTACTTTTTTACTTAAAAATTATTTGTTTCAAGACAGTGCGTACTTCAGGCTTTGACAAAGTAAGTCATGGAGCAATACTCAGTTGGACAACACGTAAAAGTGATGCAAACGTTTTGTGAATATAGTTGCTCTGCAAGAAGAGCATTTCTCGCATTGCGTGATTTTTTCGGTCAACAAAACCGCCCATCTGAGCCACCATTTAGCCGTTTGGTGCAGAAATTCGAAGAAACTGGGTCAGTGCAAGGCATGAAAAAACACCAGCGCTTCCATACAGATCGTTCGGCCGAAAATATTTCTGCTGTGGAACAAAGTGCTAACTAAGTCGCGACGACCCCAAACGTTGTCGTGAACATTATCGCGCCAGGATAACAAACCTTTCATGAAAATGGTCGTTTTGCAAAATGCTCCGCATTTGCGGCTGAAAATCTACACGTAAGTAATAAGTTAATTGTAAACCAAATATTTTTAAAGCAAGCTTTTTAAATATGAACGAAATCGGACCATAAATACCGGTTTACCAAATATATCGACTCGTGCGCCACCTATCGGCAAAATTTACGTATTTTTAATATACGGTTCTTAATATGAACCAAATCGGACTATAAATACGGGTTTTTTTAATTCTCTCGACTCCTCCCCACCTATAACCTAACTCTGAGCCAACTGTGAAGTTTCTCTAGGCCATCGGGAAGTTGGTAAAAAATTGATTGCAAGATTTGCCCCTAACAAACATACAAAAATATATACATATAAACATACAGAACAAGTTAAATAAAAGCTTGTAAAAACGAGTCACTATTTGGTGTGGTTTTTTATCTGGCGGAGTTATCGGACCGTACTTCTTCGAAAATTATGCCGGTAACGCTGTTGCGGTGAACGTTATCATGATATAATAACAAACTTTTTATAGCCTCGATTAGATGTTGTGGACTTGGACAATATCCGGTTTCAACAGGACGTGGTCACTTGCCACACAGCGCATGATACAATGGCCCTATTGCGAACGAATTTCCTAGGGCGCATAATCTAACTCGGTGATTCCTAAAGTGGTCCAGGTATACCCTCAGGGGTCCAGGGAAGACTTGACGGGGATCTACGTTGGCCTGAAAAAAATATGAGGGTTCACGAATTGTACGTGGGGGTCCACGAAAATTTACCTGGTTTCGGTAGTAAAGAATAAAAATGTTGGCTTGGCTTTGCTTACCAATTTAGGCAGGTATTTAAGTAATACACTTCTCAAATATATTAAGGGAGCAAGTCTATACTATAATAAGACGGTAGAAAAGTTGTATGTTTCTTTGTCTGTTTGAACTTACTAATCTCTGGAACTACTAAATGGATTTTCATGGGGCTGTAACTGGTATCTAAACACTGACCTCGGACATAACATAGAGTATAAAAAATAGGATCTGACAACGGAGCGTGATCCCTCCCATGGGCGTGAAATTTTTAATCTGCAATAACTTCGGAACCGTAAGTCATATGTCTTTGAAATTTGGAGTGAAGACAGAGCTATGAAATATGCTGAACGTAAAATATCCATATACATACATACATAAATAAGTTTGTAAAAGTGGGTTATAGTGAGGTAAATATAAAAGAGTTTTTACTTATACACAAGTTATACAAAATGTTAAAGTATGGATGTTAAACGAAGGAGGTGGATTCATTAGTTTGCACATTTGGAATGTTTGAAGAGAGTTGCCACGTGTTCAAAAAGTAAATTCCAATTATTCAATAAGTTGGATGAATTACTAAAAGTGGGGTATAAATCGAAATGGGTTTGAAAGAGATTTATTACTAGCCTTTATTTAGGAGGGTTGCCATTTGTTCGAAAAATCAAATTGGTATTAGTTCATCAGTTTATTGAAATACATGTGCTTCACAATGTCAGACGAAAGAGATTTAAGAAGATTTTAGTTGAGAATACTTTTGAAAAGGAATTTCAAAAATATATATGATAAAGTTTTATTTTTTATTCAAGTTTTTTTTTCATCGGTAAAGGGTGATTTGAAATTCGATGAAAATAAAAACATGCACTATGCCAGACTAGTCTTCACTCAGAAACGGTGGCACGCTTTTGATGAAATACGGCACTCGGATCTCTTATAACTCTGACTAACATTTGGAATATTTTTTAAGTTTGTGAAATTCAATTTGGGACGTTTTCACGCTATATTATTGGATTGGATTTTGTAATATTTTGTACCATTTTTTTTAAGCATCAGTTTTTTCGGTATACACTCCTTATGTATAAAAGTTCGATATTGAGTTGCTTGCTGTTCAAACGACGTCAAAATTTAATCAGTCGAGGTTGATTTACAAAATTAAGTTTTCGGAAATATTACTTATCTTGTTTTGGTTATGAATCCGGCGATTTTCCAAATCAAAATCATAGAATTCAAGTTAAAATTACGTTAAAAAGCAAATAAAATCTCGGGTCAAAATGACGCTGTGTGTGCGCGCAAAAAGTATATCGCCTTCTTGTAATGAAATTAAAAATAGAGTATGTATTTTTTATATTTACCCAAACCCATAGCCATACATATGTGATATTACCGAATAGATTGAGCCAAAGTTTGATTAAAACTGCTTAACTGTGAAATAAAAGCATTTTTTATTGAAAATTCGGTAATTTTTACCCAACCGTTATAGAAAGGTTAAAAATAACATCGATTAATATTGACAGTTTAATATTCTTCAGAAAGAATTTGGTTCCAGTTTGCTTCGCTGTGCTCAAAAATTAAATTCAGCAAAGTAGGAAAATTCCCATTTTAATATCTTTTAAAAGTAAATAATATTCGTGTAATGCTCAGGCCATGAATTACATGCATTATTCCAGATAAACGCAAGAATTAAATCGTACAATTAGTACGATTTTTAGAAAAAACTTGACTACAGCGCCATGCAACAAGTCAATCTAAGGCCAACAGATTTAGTTTTCCTAATAAACATGTATGTTGTTGTTTCGAATATTTAGAATCTCAAAAAGGATTTTTATATTGTGTCTCGATTCAAACTAAAGGAAATTGTCTAAATCTTCTCACTAATCGTTAGTCTGATAATTGTTTGTATGCGTATTTAAAACAAAGTGGGCTCCATATGAAATCAGGTCATTTTATTGCAAGAAAAATAATTTTTTATAAGAATTAATCAAACATATGTATGTATGTATGTATGCATTTGTGGCAAAAATTTCATATTTAACATCAATTAGTTAACATTCTGACAAACATTGTGTCTTTAACTTATTATTAAACTTTGCATTCAGCGGCAGGTTCCACAAGGTTTAGCTTTTCGCAACGCTTTTCGCAACGGTTTTGGCTTTTAAAGGGCAAGTCTAAAAATAGAGGAGAAAACAGAAACAAATGTAGAATTTTCCAATTAGCTAAAGTGTTCAACGGCTTCCATTTACTATTACGCGGCCTAGATTAACAGTTGAGAGTGCGTAAAGCACATTTATCAGTTCCTAGTTCTGTCTCGTATACTTTGGAGTAGCTCTCTTAGTTGGCGGCGTAATTCGCCTGCTAGTTGAAGTTGTACTTGTTCTAGTTGGCGGCGTAGTGCGTCTTCTAGTTGAACGCGTAGGTTTTCTAGTTGGAAGATTAAAGGTCTCCTGGTTCGGGGTGTAGGTCTCCTAGTTGGGGGCGTAGGTGTTCCAGTTGGAGGAGGTCTTTTAGTTGGGATAACAACAACACCACCCGGCACACCAGGCTGGGCATGTGTAACAGCTATAGTGATTAATAGCACAGCTCCAAAAACTGGAATTCAACAGGTTAGTAGGAAAATCATATATTGCGACTTAAGAACTTACGGAACACGAAGGAATTCCTGGGCCACATGTTTTGATTACTTGATGATTTCGAGTTTGAAAACGGAGCACAACTGATGCTCTTACGACAGCGCAGACGTACTTTTATAGGGGAATTGACATCAGCTTCGCAAACCGTGCACCGTGCCAGGTTTTTGCAAGACTGCGATAATACCCCTATTGTAACAATACATTCAAAACAAAAGACTGTCTGGAGTGCGTCTATTCATAGCTTAATTGACAAAGAAACTACAAAAGACCCCCCCGAAATGTAGAAATGTAGGTTTTTAAGGCACTTAAACTTGAAAAAGGTAAAACGAACTTCAAAAAAAGGCACATATTTTTTTAATTTTGTTATGTACTTCCTTTATGTACAATGTGAAGGTCCAATTAATGATATAAAAAAATACAT